GGACGTGGACGTGGACGTGGACGTGGACTTGGATGTGGACCTGGACGTGGACGTGGACGTGGACGTGGACGTGGACCTGGACCTGGACGTGGACGTGGACGTGGACGTGGACGTGGATGGATGTGGACGTGGACGTGGACGTGGAGGTGGATGTGGACGTGGACGTGGACGTGGACGTGGAGGATTTGGACGTGGACGTGGACGTGGACGGGACGTGGATGTGGACGTTGACGTGGACGTGGACGTGGACGTGGACGTGGACTTGGACGTGGACGTGGACGTGGACGAGGACGTGGACGTGACGTGGACGTGGACGTGGTCGTGGACGTAGACGTGGATGTGGACGTGGACGTGGACGAGGACGTGGACGTGGACGTGGACGTGGACCTGGACCTGGACCTGGACGTGGACCTGGACGAGGTCGTGGACGTGGACTTGGACTTGACGTTGACGTGGATGTGGACGTGGACGTGGACGTGGACGTGGTCGTGGACGTGGACGTGGACGTGGACGTGTCGTGGACGTGGACGTGGACTTGGACGTGGTCGTGGATGTGGACGTGGACGTGGACGTGGACCTGGACGTAGACGTGGACGTGGACGTGGACGTGGTCCTGGACGTGGACGTGGACGTGGACGTGACCTGGACATGGACGTAGACATGGATGTGGACCTGGACGTGGACGTGGACCTGGACGTGGACGTGGACGTGGACGTGGACGTGGTCGTGGACGTGGACGTGGACGAGGACGTGGTCCTGGACGTGGACGTGGACGTGGACGTGGACCCGGACGTGGACTTGGAGGTAGACGTGGACCTTGACGTGGACTTGGACGTGGACGTGGACCTGGACGTGGACTTGGACGTGGACGTGGACGTGGAAGTGGACGTGGTTTGTGACATGGACGTGGACGTGGACGTGGACGTGGTCGTGGACGTGGACGTGGACGTGGTCGTGGACGTGGACGTGGACGTGGACGTGGTCGTGGACGTGGACGTGGACGTGGACGTGGACGTGGTCGTGGACGTGGACGTGGACGTGGACCTGGACGTGGACGTGGTCGTGGACGTGGACGTGGGACGTGGACGTGGTCGTGAACGTGGACGTGGACATTGACGTGGACTTGGACGTGGACCAGGACGTGGACATAGACGTGGACGTGGATGTGGACGTGGACGTGGTCGTGGACGTGGACGTGGACGTGGAAGGTCGTGGACGTGGACGTGGACCTGGACGTGGACGTGTACCTGGACGTGGACGTGGACTTGGACGTGGACGTGGACATTGACGTGGACATTTAGGACGTGGACGTGGACGTGGAGGACGTGGACGTGGATGTGGACGTAGACGTGGACTTGGACGTGGACCTGGACGTAAACGCGGACGTGGACCTGGATCTGGACCTGGACCTGGATGTGGACGTGGACGTGGACGTGGATGATGTGTGCGTGGACGTGGACGTGGACGTAGAGGTGGATGACTGGACGTGTGGACGTGGACGTGGCTGGACGTGGACGTGGAGGTGGATTGGACGTGGACGTGGACGTGGACGTGGTTGTGGACGTGGACGTCGACGTGGACGTGGATCTGGACTGGACGTGGACGTGGAGTGGATGTGGACCTGGACGTGGACGTGGACGTAGACAAGGACGTGGTCGTGAACGTGGACATGGACGTAATCTGGACGTGGACGTGGAGGTGGACGTGGACCTGGACGTGACATGGACTTGGACGTGGACGTGGACGTGGACGTGGTCGTGGACGTGGACGTGGACGTGGTCGTGGACGTGGACGTGGTCGTGGACGTGGACGTGGAGGACGTGGACGTGGACATGGATGTGGACCTGGACGTGGACGTGGACGTGGATGTGGACGTGGACGTGGTTGTGGACGTGGAAGTGGACGTGGACGTGGACGTGGTCGTGGACGTGGACGTGGACGTGGACGTAAACCTAGACGTGGACGTGGAGGAGGACGTGGACCTGGACGTGGACTTGGACGTGGACATGGACAAGGACGTGGTCGTGGACGTGGACGTGGATGTGGACGTGGTCATGGACGTGGACTGGTCGTGGACGTGGACGTGGACGTGGACCTCGACATGGACGTGGACGTGGACGTGGACTTGGACGTGGACGTGGACGTGGACGTGGACGTGGACGTGGTCGTGGACGTGGACGTGGACATGGACGTGGACGTGGACTTGGACGTGGACGTGGACGTGGTTTGGACGTGGACCTGGACCTCGACGTGGACGTGCACGTGCACGTGGACGTGGACGTGGACGTGGACGTGGACGTGGCAAGGACGTGGACCTGGACGTGGTCGAAGACGTGGACGTGGACGTGGACATGGAGGACGTGGACGTGGATGTGGACGTGGTCGTGGACGTGGACGTGGACGTGGAGGTGGACGTGAACGTGGACTTGGATGTGGACGTGGACCTGAACGTGGACCTGGACGTGAACGTGGACGTGGACATGGACGTGGACTTGGACGTGGACGTGGATATGGACGTGGACGTGTTCGTGGATGTGGACGTGGACGTGGACGTGGTCGTGGACGTGGACGTAGACGTGTACGTGGACGTGGTCGTGGACGTGGACGTGGACGTGGACCTGGACGTGGACGTGGACGTGGACGTGGTTGTGGACGTGGACGTGGATTTGGACGTGGACGTGGACTTGGACGTGGACGTGGACGTGGACGTGGTCCTGGACGTGGACGTGGACGTGGACGTGGACTTGGACGTGGATGTGGACGTGGACGTTGACGTGGACGTGGAGGACATGGACGTGGACGTGGACGTGGCAAGGACGTGGACCTGGACGTGGTCGTGGACGTGGATGTGGACGTGGACGTGGAGGACGTGGACGTGGACGTGGACGTGGACGTGGTCGTGGACGTGGACGTGGACTTGGACGTGGACTTGGACCTGGACGTGGACCTGGACGTGGACGTGGACGTGAACTAGACGTGGACGAGGACGTAAACGTGGACGTGGACGTGGACCTGGACGTGGACTTGGACGTGGACTTGGACGTGGACGTGGACGTGGTCGTGCACGTGGACGTAGAGGTGGACATGGACTTGGACTTGGACGTGGACGTGGATGTGGACGTGGACGTGGACCTGGACCTGGACGTGTACCTGGACTTGGACGTGGACTTGGACGTGGACGTGGACGTGGTCGTGGACGTGGACGTGGACCTGGACGTGGACGTGGACTGACGTGGTCGTGGACGTGGACGTGGACGTGGACGTGGAGGACGTAGACGTGGACGTGGATGTGGCAAGGACGTGGACCTGGACTGGTCGTGGACGTGGACGTGGACGTGAGACGTGGACGTGGACTGACGTGGACCTGGACGTGGACCTGGACATGTACGTGACGTGGACCTGGACGTGGACGTAGACGTGGACGTGGACGTGGACGTGGACCTGGACGTGGACTTGGACGTGGACTTGGACGTGGACTTGGACGTGGACATGGACGTGAAGGACGTGGACGTGGACGTGGAGGACGTGGACGTGGACGTGTGCAAGGACGTGGACCTGGACGTGGTTGTGGACGTGGACGTGGACGTGGACATGGAGGACGTGGACTTGGACGTGGACGTGGACGTGGTCGTGGACATGGACGTGGACGTGGACGTGGATCTTGACGTGGACCTGGACGTGGACGTGGACCTGGACATGGACGTGGACGTGGACGTGGACGTGTTCGTGGACGTGGACATAGACGTGCACTTGGACGTGGACCTGGACCTGGACCTGGACGTGGACTTGGACGTGGACGTGACGTGGTTGTGGACGTGGACCTGGACGTGGACGTGGACGTGGTCGTGGACGTGACGTGGACGTGGAAAGGTCGTGGACGTGGACGTGGACGTGGACGTGGACGTGGACGTGGACCTGGACCTGGACGTGGATGTGGACGTGTACCTAGACGTGGACGTGGACTTGGACGTGGACGTGGACATTGACGTGGACGTGGAGGACGTGGACGTGGACATGGAGGACGTGGACGTGGACGTGGACTTGGACGTGGACCTGGATCTGGACGCGGACGTGGACGTGGACGTGGACGTGGACCTAGACGTGGACGTGGACGTGGACGTAGACGTGGATGGGATGTGGACGTGGACGTGGATGTGGACGTGGAGGTGGATGTGGACGTGGACGGGACGTGGACGTGGACGTGGACGTGGAGGTGGATGTGGACGTGGACGTGGACGTGGACGTGGTTGTGGACGTGGACGTCGACGTGGACGTGGATCTGGACCTGGACGTGGAGGTGGAGGTAGAACGTGGACCTGGACGTGGACGTGGACGTGGACGTGGACATGGTCGTGAACGTGGACTTGGACGTAAACCTGGACGTGGACGTGGAGGTGGACGTGGACCTGGACGTGGACGTGGACTTGGACGTGGACGTGGACGTGGACGTGATCGTGGACTTGGACGTGGACGTGGTCGTGGACGTGGACGTGGTCGTGGACGAGGACGTGGACGTGGACGTGGACCTCGACATGGACGTGGACGTGGACGTGGACATGGATGTGGACCTGGACCTGGACGTGGACGTGGACGTGGACGTGGACGTGGACGTGGTCGTGGACGTGGACGTGGACGAGGACGTGGTCCTGGACGTGGACGTGGACGTGGACGTGGACCCGGACGTGGACTTGGAGGTAGACGTGGACCTTGACGTGGACTTGGACGTGGACGTGGACCTGGACGTGGACTTGGACGTGGACGTGGACGTGGAAGTGGACGTGGTTGTGGACATGGACGTGGACGTGGACGTGGACGTGGTCGTGGACGTGGACGTGGACGTGGTCGTGGACGTGGACGTGGACGTGGACGTGGTCGTGGACGTGGACGTGGACGTGGACGTGGACGTGGTCGTTGACGTGGACGTGGACGTGGACCTGGACGTGGACGTGGTCGTGGACGTGGACGTGGACGTGGACGTGGTCGTGAACGTGGACGTGGACATGGACGTGGACTTGACGTGGACCAGGACGTGGACATAGACGTGGACGTGGATGTGGACGTGGACGTGGTCGTGGACGTGGACGTGGACGTGGAAAGGTCGTGGACGTGGACGTGGACCTGGACGTGGACGTGTACCTGGACGTGGACGTGGACTGGACGTGGACGTGGACATTGACGTGGACATTTAGGACGTGGACGTGGACGTGGAGGACGTGGACGTGGATGTGGACGTAGACGTGGACTTGGACGTGGACCTGGACGTAAACGCGGACGTGGACCTGGATCTGGGACCTGGACCGGATGTGGACGTGGACGTGGACGTGGATGGGATGTGGACGTGGACGTGGACGTGGACGTAGAGGTTGATGTGGACGTGGACGTGACGTGGACGTGGACGTGGAGGTGGATGGGACGTGGACGTGGACGTGGACGTGGTTGTGGACGTGGACGTCGACGTGGACGTGGATCTGGACCTGGACGTGGACGTGGAGGTGGATGTGGACCTGGACGTGGACGTGGACGTAGACAAGGACGTGGTCGTGACCGTGGACATGGACGTAAATCTGGACGTGGACGTGGAGGTGGACGTGGACCTGGACGTGGACATGGGACTTGGACGTGGACGTGGACGTGGACGTGTCCGTGGACGTGGACGTGGACGTGTCGTGGACGTGGACGTGGTCGTGGACGTGGACGTGGACCTCCACATGGACGTGGACGTGGACATGGATGTGGACCTGGACGTGGACGTGGACGTGGATGTGGACGTGGACGTGGTTTGTGGACGTGGAAGTGACGTGGACGTGGACGTGGTCGTGGACGTGGACGTGGACGTGGACGTAAACCTGGACGTGGACGTGGAGGAGGACGTGGACCTGGACGTGGACTTGACGTGGACATGGACAAGGACGTGGTCGTGGACGTGGACGTGGATGTGGACGTGGTCATGGACGTGGACGTGGTCGTGGACGTGGACGTGGACGTGGACCTCGACATGGACGTGGACGTGGACGTGGACTTGGACGTGGACGTGGACGTGGACGTGGACGTGGACGTGGACGTGGTCGTGGACGTGGACGTGGACATGGACGTGGACGTGGACGTGGACGTGGACGTGGACGTGGTTTTGGACGTGGACCTGGACCTCGACGTGGACGTGCACGTGCACGTGGACCGTGGACGTGGACGTGGACGTGGACGTGGCAAGGACGTGGACCTGGACGTGGTCGAAGACGTGGACGTGGACGTGGACATGGATGACGTGGACGTGGATGTGGACGTGGTCGTGGACGTGGACGTGGACGTGGAGGTGGACGTGAACGTGGACTTGGATGTGGACGTGGACCTGAACGTGGACCTGGACGTGAACGTGGACGTGGACATGGACGTGGACTTGGACGTGGACGTGGATATGGACGTGGACGTGTCGTGGATGTGGACGTGGACGTGGACGTGGTCGTGGACGTGGACGTAGACGTGTACGTGGACGTGTGGTCGTGGACGTGGACGTGGACGTGGACCTGGACGTGGACGTGACGTGGACGTGGACTTGGACGTGGATGTGGACGTGGACGTTGACGTGGACGTGGAGGACATGGACGTGGACGTGGACGTGGCAAGGACGTGGACCTGGACGTGGTCGTGGACGTGGATGTGGACGTGGACGTGGAGGACGTGGACGTGGACGTGACGTGGACGTGGTCGTGGACGGGACGTGGACTTGGACGTGGACTTGGACCTGGACGTGGACCTGGACGTGGACGTGGACGTGAACCTAGACGTGGACGAGGACGTAAACGTGGACGTGGACGTGGACCTGGACGTGGACTGGACGTGGACTGGACGTGGACGTGGACGTGGTCGTGCACGTGGACGTAGAGTGGACATGGACTTGGACTTGGACGTGGACGTGGATGTGGACGTGGACGTGGACCTGGACCTGGACGTGTACCTGGACTTGGACGTGGACTTGGACGTGGACGGTGTGACGTGGTCGTGGACGTGGACGTGGACCTGGACGTGGACGTGGACTGACGTGGACGTGGACGTGGACGTGGACGTGGACGTGGACGTGGACGTGGACGTGGACGTGGACGTGGACTTGGTGTGACCTGGACGTGGACGCGGACGTGGACGTGGACGTGACCTGGACCTGGACGTGGACGTGGACGTGGACGTGGACGTGGATGTGATGACGTGGACGTGGACGTGGACGTGGATGTGGACGTGGACGTGGACGTGGACGTGGAGGATTTGGACGTGGACGTGGACGTGGACGTGGACGTGGACGTGGACGTGGACGTGGACGTGGACGTGGACGTGGACGTGGACTTGGACGTGGACGGTGACGTGGACGAGGACGTGGACGTGGACGTGGACGTGGACGTGGTCGTGGACGTGGACGTGGATGTGGACGTGGACGTGGACGTGGACTGGACGTGGACGTGGACGTGGACCTGGACCTGGACCTGGATCGGACGTGGACCTGGACGGGACGTGGACGTGGACTTGACGTGGACGTTGGACGTGGACGTGGACGTGGACGTGGACGTGGACGTGGTCGTGGACGTGGACCTGGACGTGGACGTCGTCGTGGACGTGGACGTGGACTTGACGTGGTCGTGGATGTGGACGTGGACGTGGACGTGGACCTGGACGTAGATGTGGACGTGGACGTGGACGTGGTCCTGGACGTGGACGTGGACGTGGACGTGGACCTGGACGTGGACGTGGACATGGACGTGACCTGGACGTGGACGTGGACCTGGACGTGGACGTGGACGTGGACGTGGACGTGGTCGTGGACGTGGACGTGGACGAGGACGTGGACCTGGACGTGGACGTGGACGTGGACGTGGACCGGACGTGGACGTGGACGTGGACGTGGACCTTGACGTGGACTTGGACGTGGACGTGGACTGGACGTGGACTTGGACGTGGACGTGGACGTGGAAGTGGACGTGTTGTGGACATGGACGTGGACGTGGACGTGGACGTGGTCGTGGACGTGGACGTGGACGTGGTCGTGACGTGGACGTGGACGTGGACGTGGTCGTGGACGTGGACGTGGACGTGGACGTGGACGTGGTCGTGGACGTGGACGTGGACGTGGACCTGGACGTGGACGTGGACGTGGACGTGGACGTGGACGTGGACGTGGTCGTGAACGTGGACGTGGACATTGACGTGGACTTGGACGTGGACCAGGACGTGGACATAGACGTGGACGTGGACGTGGACGGGACGTGGTCGTGGACGTGGACGTGGACGTGGAAAGTCGTGGACGTGGACGTGGACCTGACGTGGACGTGTACCTGGACGTGGACGTGGACTGGACGTGGACGTGGACATTGACGTGGACATTTAGGGACGTGGACGTGGACGTGGAGGACGGACGTGGATGTGGACGTAGACGTGGACTTGGACGTGGACGTGGACGTGACGCGGACGTGGACCTGGATCTGGACCTGGACCTGGATGTGGACGTGACGTGGACGTGGATGGGATGTGGACGTGGACGTGGACGTGGACGTAGAGGTGGATGTGGACGTGGACGTGGACGTGGACGTGGACGTGGAGTTGACGTGGACGTGGACGTGGACGTGGACGTGGTTGTGGACGTGGACGTCGACGTGACGTGGATCTGGACCTGGACGTGGACGTGGAGGTGGATGTGGACCTGGACGTGGACGTGGACGTAGACAAGGACGTGGTCGTGAACGTGGACATGGACGTAAATCTGGACGTGGACGTGGACGTGGACCTGGACGTGGACGTGGACTTGGACGTGGACGTGGACGTGGACGTGGTCGTGGACGTGGACGTGGACGTGGTCGTGGACGTGGACGTGGTCTGGACGTGGACGTGGACCTCCACATGGACGTGGACGTGGACATGGATGTGGACCTGGACGTGGACGTGGACGTGGATGTGGACGTGGACGTGGTTGTGGACGTGGAAGTGGACGTGGACGTGGACGTGGTCGTGGACGTGGACGTGGACGTGGACGTAAACCTAGACGTGGACGTGGAGGAGGACGTGGACCTGGACGTGGACTTGGACGTGGACGTGGACGTGGACGTGGTCGTGGACGTGGACGTGGACGTGGACGTGGTCATGGACGTGGACGTGGTCGTGGACGTGGACGTGGACGTGGACCTCGACATGGACGTGGACGTGGACGTGGACTTGGACGTGGACGTGGACGTGGACGTGGACGTGGACGTGGTCGTGGACGTGGACGTGGACATGGACGTGGACGTGGACTTGGACGTGGACGTGGACGTGGTTTGGACGTGGACCTGGACCTCGACGTGGACGTGCACGTGCACGTGGACGTGGACGTGGACGTGGACGTGGACGTGGCAAGGACGTGGACCTGGACGTGGTCGAAGACGTGGACGTGGACATGGAGGACGTGGACGTGGATGTGGACGTGGTCGTGGACGTGGACGTGGACGTGGAGGTGGACGTGAACGTGGACTTGGATGTGGACGTGGACCTGAACGTGGACTGGACGTGACGTGGACGTGGACTGGACGTGACTTTGACGTGGACGTGGATATGGACGTGGACGTGTTCGTGGATGTGGACGTGGACGTGGACGTGGTCGTGGACGTGGACGTAGACGTGTACGTGGACGTGGTCGTGGACGTGGACGTGGACGTGGACCTGGACGTGGACGTGGACGTGGACGTGGTTGTGGACGTGGACGTGGATTTGGACGTGGACGTGGACTTGGACGTGGACGTGGACGTGGACGTGGTCCTGGACGTGGACGTGGACGTGGACGTGGACTTGGACGTGGATGTGGACGTGGACGTTGACGTGGACGTGGAGGACGTGGACGTGGACGTGGACGTGGCAAGACGTGGACCTGGACGTGGTCGTGGACGTGGATGTGGACGTGGACGTGAGGACGTGGACGTGGACGTGGACGTGGACGTGGTCGTGGACGTGGACGTGGACTTGACGTGACTTGGACCTGGACGTGGACCTGGACGTGGACGTGGACGTGAACCTAGACGTGGACGAGGACGTAAACGTGGACGTGGACGTGGACCTGGACGTGGACTTGGACGTGACTTGGACGTGGACGTGGACGTGGTCGTGCACGTGGACGTGGAGGTGGACATGGACTTGGACTTGGACGTGGACGTGGATGTGGACGTGGACGTGGACCTGGACCTGGACGTGTACCTGGACTTGGACGTGGACTTGGACGTGGACGTGGACGTGTCGTGGACGTGGACGTGGACCTGGACGTGGACGTGGACTGACGTGGTCGTGGACGTGGACGTGGACGTGGACGTGGAGGACGTAGACGTGGACGTGGATGTGGCAAGGACGTGGACCTGGACGTGGTCGTGGACGTGGACGTGGACGTGGAGGACGTGGACGTGGACTGACGTGGACCTGGACGTGGACCTGGACATGTACGTGGACGTGGACCTGGACGTGGACGTAGACGTGGACGTGGACGTGGACGTGGACCTGGACGTGGACTTGGACGTGGACTTGGACGTGGACTGGACGTGGACATGGACGTGAAGGACGTGGACGTGGACGTGGAGGACGTGGACGTGGACGTGGCAAGGACGTGACCTGGACGTGGTTGTGGACGTGGACGTGGACGTGGACATGGAGACGTGGACTTGGACGTGGACGTGGACGTGGTCGTGGACATGGACGTGGACGTGGACGTGGATCTTGACGTGGACCTGGACGTGGACGTGGACCTGGACATGGACGTGGACGTGGACGTGGACGTGTTCGTGGACGTGGACATAGACGTGCACTTGGACGTGGACTGGACCTGGACCTGGACGTGGACTTGGACGTGGACGTGGACGTGGTTGTGGACGTGGACCTGGACGTGGACGTGGACGTGGTCGTGGACGTGGACGTGGACGTGGAAAGGTCGTGGACGTGGACGTGGACGTGGACGTGGACGTGGACGTGGACTGGACCTGGACGTGGATGTGGACGTGTACCTAGACGTGGACGTGGACTTGGACGTGACGTGGACATTGGACGTGGACGTGGAGGACGTGGACGTGGACATGGAGGACGTGGACGTGGACGTGGACTTGGACGTGGACCTGGATCTGGACGCGGACGTGGACGTGGACGTGGACGTGGACCTAGACGTGGACGTGGACGTGGACGTAGACGTGGATTGGATGTGGACGTGGACGTGGATGTGGACGTGGAGTGGATGTGGACGTGGACGTGGACGTGGACGTGGACGTGGACGTGGAGGTGGATGTGGACGTGGACGTGGACGTGGACGTGGTTGTGGACGTGGACGTCGACGTGGACGTGGATCTGGACCTGGACGTGGAGTGGGGTAGACGTGGACCTGGACGTGGACGTGGACGTGACGTGACATGGTCGTGAACGTGGACTTGGACGTAAACCTGGACGTGGACGTGGAGGTGGACGTGGACCTGGACGTGGACGTGGACTTGGACGTGGACGTGGACGTGGACGTGATCGTGGACGTGGACGTGGACGTGTCGTGGACGTGGACGTGGTCGTGGACGAGACGTGGACGTGGACGTGACCTCGACATGGACGTGGACGTGGACGTGGACATGGATGTGGACCTGGACGTGGACGTGGACGTGGACGTGACGTGGACGTGGACGTGGTCGTGGACGTGGACGTGGACGTGGACGTGGTCCTGGACGTGGACGTGGACGTGGACGTGGACCCGGACGTGGACTTGGAGGTAGACGTGGACCTTGGACGTGGACTTGGACGTGGACGTGGACCTGGACGTGGACTTGGACGTGGACGTGGACGTGGACGTGGACGTGGTTGTGGACGTGGACGTGGACGTGGACTGGACCGTGGTCGTGGACGTGGACGTGGACGTGGTCGTGGACGTGGACGTGGACGTGGACGTGGTCGTGGACGTGGACGTGGACGTGGACGTGGACGTGGTCGTGGACGTGGACGTGGACGTGGACCTGGACGGGACGTGGACGTGGACGTGGACGTGACGTGGACGTGGTCCGTGAACGTGGACGTGGACATGGACGTGGACTTGGACGTGGACGTGACGTGGACATAGACGTGGACGTGGATGTGGACGTGGACGTGGACGTGGACGTGGACGTGGACGTGGAAAGGTCGTGGACGTGGACGTGGACCTGGACGTGGACGTGGACCTGGACTGTGACGTGGACTTGGACGTGGACGTGGACATTGACGTGGACATTTAGGACGTGGACGTGGACGTGGAGGACGTGGACGTGGACGTGGACGTAGACGTGGACTTGGACGTGGACCTGGACGTGGACGTGGACGTGGACCTGGACGGACCTGGACCTGGATTGGACGTGGACGTGGACGTGGATGGGATGTGGACGTGGACGTGGACGTGGACGTAGAGGTGGATGTGGACGTGGACGTGGGGTGACGTGGACGTGGACGTGGAGGTGGACGTGGACGTGGACGTGGACGTGGACGTGTTGTGGACGTGGACGTCGACGTGGACGTGGATCTGGACCTGGACGTGGACGTGGAGGTGGATGTGGACTGGACGTGGACGTGGACGTGGACGTGGACGTGGTCGTGACGTGGACATGGACGTAAATCTGGACGTGGACGTGGAGGTGGACGTGGACCTGGACGTGGACGTGGACTTGGACGTGGACGTGGACGTGGACGTGTCGTGGACGTGGACGTGGACTGGCGTGGGGTGACGTGGACTGGTCGTGGACGTGGACGTGGACGTCCACATGGACGTGGACGTGGACATGGATGTGGACCTGGACGTGGACGTGGACGTGGATGTGGACGTGGACGTGGTTGTGGACGTGGACGTGGACGTGGACGTGGACGTGTCGTGGACGTGGACGTGGACGTGGACGTGGACCTGGACGTGGACGTGGAGGAGGACGTGGACCTGGACGTGGACTTGACGTGGACGTGGACGTGGACGTGGTCGTGGACGTGGACGTGGATGTGGACGTGGTCATGGACGTGGACGTGGTCGTGGACGTGGACGTGGACGTGGACCTGGACATGGACGTGGACGTGGACGTGGACTTGGACGTGGACGTGGACGTGGACGTGGACGTGGACGTGGACGTGGTGGACGTGGACGTGGACGTGGACATGGACGTGGACGTGGACTTGGACGTGGACGTGGACGTGGGTTTGGACGTGGACGTGGACCTGGACGTGGACGTGGACGTGCACGTGGACGTGGACGTGGACGTGGACGTGGACGTGGCAAGGACGTGGACCTGGACGTGTCGAGACGTGGACGTGGACGTGGACATGGAGGACGTGGACGTGGATGTGGACGTGGTCGTGGACGTGGACGTGGACGTGGAGGTGGACGTGAACGTGGACTTGGATGTGGACGTGGACCTGAACGTGGACCTGGACGTGAACGTGGACGTGGACATGGACGTGGACTTGGACGTGGACGTGGA